CCTGGGGCTCTCTCCTGTCCGCTCTTTCCCTCTCCAGGCTGTCTGCAGTGTTCACCCTCCAGACCCATTTCTCACGGTCTGATGCAGCACTGGCTTGCACAGTCTCATTGAACATGTCACCCCCAGTCTTCTTCTTTCTCTTTCCTCCCTCCTTCCCCCCGGCTCAGGCATTCCGCAGTGTGGAGGGGTATCACTCAAGGCTGCAATGGAAGCGGCTGCAGATAAGACACAGAGGTACCACTGATGGTATAGACCCAATGGAAAGCAAAAGTTAAGATTCAGAACTCTCTTCCCTTGCTCCCCTAAAGCATAAACAAGACATGCCTATTGACACTTCTGCTTCAGAGTGCTCATGCACAGCACCACTCACAGAACCAGCCACGGTGAGTGTTCCGGCTGGGGTAATGACAAGGGAATTGCTCAGTTGCATGAAATGGCACTGAATCCTGGCACTGTTTTCCACAGGCGGTGGTGATTTTAGCTGATCTCTCACTTCTGAGGGTAACAAAAGAACAGAGAGCACAGCTGCTGCTCACATTCCAAAGCCATCCAGGCCCATGTGTTGTTAGCCCATTTATTGCAATGCTGTCACCTGAAGTTATCGCTGACTGACATGGGAAAGTGTCCTACCACAGAGGAAGAAATATGGTTGCCATCCCTAAAAACCTGAGGGAGAGGATTGCAGAGTAATGAAAGGCTCATTGTGATCTCTCAGGAGGATTCCAGGGACAATTCTGTGCACATAAACAAAATGCTCTACATAACCTCCCCTGCCTAACTCTACAGAGGCATGAAAAGTAGATAACTCCACCTCTCGTTGTACTGCTACCTTTTCTAATATGAGTAAATTAATGAAAAGTCAGCTGTGTCCTGTTGAGTTGGGGGAGATGGGGTACCATCAGTACATACATTATTGTAATGGGAAATACCATTACACAATTACCTGAGGTTCCTTCTCCTGCATCAGGCTCACCCATGCTTGACTGTCAGGACTGACTAGACTGCAGTAAAGTCTCAAACAGGTCCTGGTTCATAGCATAGCGGGACCTCCCAGTCGTATGTCTCCTATCCTCCTCCTCTTACTCCTCCACCTCATCCTCACTGCTCATGCCAGGGGCCTGTGACTTGGGCTTCTCAGAGGTATCCATGGTGGTCTGTGGGGTGGTGGTGGGGCCTATGCCAAGTATGACATGCAGCTCTTTGTAAAAAGCGGCAGCTCTGCAGCTTGCCACTGGATTAACTGTTCGCTTCCTTGGCTTCTGCTATGCTTGTTGCAGTTCCTTTGCTTTCATGCGGCACTGCTGCTGGTCCTAGTCGTACACCTTCTCCTGCACCCCCTGTGCAATCTGCTCATAGATGTCCACATTTCTACAGCTAGTCTGTAGCTGTGCCTGCACAGCTGCTTCTCTCCACAGGCCCAGAAGATCCAATAGCTCCTGTCTGCTCCAAGCCAGAGCCCAGAGCGCATCTGGAGCATGTGGTCAGCTGGACAATTGCACAGAACAATGGAGACCTGCTATGTGTGCTTGCCGGGCTGGAGAATCAGAAAAGGCATTTCAAAAGTTCACAGGAGAGGAAGGAACTTTCAGTGTCCGTGACCTTCTAAGCAGTGGAGTTCACAACTGTGACCAGAGCGGTCAGTGTTGGGCATTGTAGGGCAGCTGCTGGAGACTGTTAGGGTCAACATAAGTAACACAGTGTCTACACTTATACTGTGTCAACCTCACTACATCAACCATGGCTCAGTGCTGCTCAGGGAGGTGATGTTACTGTGTCACTGTAACAGGGAACCTATATCGGTGGCAGACAAATTAAGTGTAGACACATGCACAACGAGGTCTATGCAAGGCCGCTTACAGCAACCTAACTTTGTAGTGTAGACCAGTCCTAATAGATAAACCAGGAGAAAATGAAGCACATTTTCTGGAGCACTTTGCAAATGGCTCATATCTGTTGAATAATTAAGACATGGGTGTTCACACTGTTTCAAATGTTTAATTGTAGCAACTGTTTTAAAACAAAACATAAAATAGACGTTTAATACATTAGCAGATTATTTTACAGAATCATCATTAAAGAAAACATATTTATTATAGACCAGTAAGACAGTACTTTACAATTAGGTCAAGTTGAGGGCTGCATCTAGATTGCATTTTAATCCCTCCTAAATACAATCAGATGTTAACACACCATCAGTTAATATTCTTCCTACACACAATACTTATCTCTCTTGGGGAGGGGTGGAGGAGGTGGTGAAAACCAACCAATCAACAAAGAAGACTCCGAGGCAATGATGGATTAACCCTTTTTGGTGCCCTCGGGGAAAAATGTTGCCCCTCTAGCCCACTCCCCCATGGGTATGTTGCCCCAATCGGGGTGCTACTTAGGGTATCGGTGCTGAATTTAGCAAATAAACAAAACTTTAAAATATATCCAGGAACACGTAAATCAGATGGCATCCAGTGGGCAATAGCAAAACATACCAACAAGTCAAAGCAAAAGGAAAGTGGAGCCACTTTAAGAGGACTCCATCTGTGTATTGCTTTTCAATCTTGGCTACTGGATTTCACCCTTCATTTCCTGTTGGCCTGGGCTTGGGGTAATGTGGCCCATAGATTAATACATCGCTGCTCTGAGGAAAGCACTTGCTTAAACTTAGTTGGGATTTTTTTCCTGCGCTGAACAAGGATGTGAGAAAAGTTGCCACCTCATTTTTGAGCCAAGCATTCCAGTTTTAAAGAGTGCCAAGTCTTCTTGCTGGGCCAAAAGACCTGTATCTAACAAGATGTTTACAATCCTTTGATCTGGTGCTTTAGACTGCAATTCAACTGAGAAGGGCTTATCAGATCAAGCTTTGCTCCTACACTGCCTTCTACCTGCTTTCTGTAGAAGACAGCAGAAAGCAGTAACTTCAGAAATAGCAGGGTGCCTATTTACGATTTGTTGAAAAAATATAGTTAAATATTTTTTTATGGAATAGATCTGAGAACAGATTTTTCTTAACAATATAGTTTCTAGTTAAATCTGAAATGCAGAAGCAGCTATAGTGCTACCACCCTCAATTACAGTGTAGAAGGGTGGCACATTAAACCACAACTCCTAGCACAGCATGATCCATCTCCATCTTAGCAACCTCCAGTCTTTGGGCCTCATTCTCCTCAGATTTACACCACTGTAACCCCAGTGATTTCAATGGAATTATTTCTGATTTACACTGGTGTAATTGAGAGGGGAACCAGGTCACTTGTGTTCACACCTCCATATTGAGGATCAACTGCAAAGAAAAATAAAGTCAGCCCGTGTTTTGTTTTGCTTCTTTGTGGTCTCTAAAGAAGGTCTGAAAGGGTTTCTGCTTATTTCTCCCCATCCTTTAGAAATTCAGGCCTTTTCTAGACTTCTCTCCTGGAAAACGTGGGATCATTATAGCTCTACAAGGGATTAGGGCATGACATATACCATGAAAATGAAACTGATTGAGAAGGAATGTGATTTTTGTTTAAAACTCTTAATTTTGTTCATCCCTATTTAACTCAAATGCCTGACAAATAGTTGGAAGAAAAGGGCTTGATGCATCATTTTGCTACAGTCCTTTTGCTAGACTGATACAAAGGGGTCAAAGAACAAGTGTAATCCCTCCCTTCTGGCTCTACCAGCTCGGCAGCAGGCTCCTTCCTCCCATAGCCCTGGGGGTATTCTCAGGCAGGCTGTGGAGGAGAGAGATAACAGATCCCTTGAAGGAGGATGTGTGGCTGGGACAGACCTGCACCTCAGCCATACTGTGACCCTGCAATGGCATGTAGAGGCTATTGCAATAAAGTTAGGGTCACTCTCAGGGTTGTACCTTGGGTTGCACCATCCCTGGCAGCCTCTGAAGAGGTGGAGTGCACCTCACCTACACTTTCTATGCTAGTGCTTGCATGGGGATGACTCTGGCCTTGATAACCTTTAAAGAGGAAAGCAGCTGCATTTTATGCAAATTAAGCATGATGGTGTTGTTCCTGGCACGTTGCCAACATGACCCTTGTTTGGATCAAGTATGGACACCCTGTAAGGTTGGAAAGCTTCTTTTCCTTACATGGGAAGCGAAGGTGGGGGCAGGAAGCGGGTTCCTTAGATTCCATGGGATAAGTAAACTGAACATTGATACACATGTACAAAGGAATGTTGAGCGATTAGAACTTTGTTGAAATACATGTTACCATATTTACAGAATGCGCATGCTCACATTTCAGCTACTCAGATTCAAAGTTGATATTATAATGGTTAGTTACTTATGTGGTACATAGGAATTGTGTACATAACAGTGGAAACTTAAAGCACTTAAGCCTCTTTTATCCTGTATTTAACCAAATCCTGTATTCATCTTCTGGCTTTAGCTATTTTTTTCTGATAAATACTTCAGCCACAAGACATCAGTCATACAGAATTGTGACAGAAGGCCAAAATAAGTTAAGAATCTTTCTTTGGATGGGAATGGTTTGATCATTCAGTTTTCACAGGTTTCCATGGGTAGATTGCCCAGTGCCAACAAGTAACCAAACAGCTTCTAAGCTTCTATTCAGAAAAGATTTTAGAAATTATAGTAACAAAAAACCAAAGCTAAAACACAACAACCACCAGCAGTGTTGCAATTCTCTAATCAATATTATAAAAGCAATTAACTATTTGATGTTTTCCCATCCATACATTTTTTAAAACCCTCTTATTGGTATAGTCCAGTGGTTCTCAACCTAATTACCATTGTGGGCCATGTACGCAGCACCTCGTTATGTGGGCTGCATCCACACAATGCACCTTTATGGCCCTGAGGATGTCACATGTGCCACAGCTGTGTATTGATTGGGCTGCAAGCGGCCCATGGGTCGCATGTTGAGAATCACTGGTATAGCCAAACAAAATAAAATTACATGTTACAGAAGAGAAAAGTCATTGTGTTTGATAGATCAATTGAATCAGAGGAGGAGTGTCAGTCAAATCAGATTTACTACTCTAAGTGTCTTTTAATTGCTTTTGCCATCTTCTTCCCTTTTTCTGTATGCTTTATTTAACAATTGTATTTCTTCCTGATAACCATCTCTCTCCATATGCTGCTTTTTACTATTCCGCCTATGAGCTTCAACAGTGTCTGGAATTGATATGTTAATATCGCTGTCAGGATTGTTTGATGGTATAAAGAGAGAGTAGGAAGCAGTTTCTCCTAAATCGCATGAAACAAACCTGTTTTCTTTCCGTGAATAACGCAAGGACGGGGATCTGACCTGGGTAGAGGACTGGCTGATATTACTGATGATTGATACAGTATCCATGGCCTCTTCATTGTCGCAAATTTCAAGAACTTCTAAATGAATTTTAACATTTGTGTCTGCAAATGTAGTAGGAGAATCCTCAGGGTTTGGCTCATGACCAACACTCTTTGATCGATATACTTCAATTTTCTTTGATGTGGGTGTTATTTTTTGCCCTTCAGTGCTTACCTCGTAGGTAGATAAAGAGAGTGTTTTTCCCGTGGGTGCATGGAGAGATACAGTCCCTTGAAATGCACATAAAGGAATAGCTAAGGCCCCACCTGAGCGCTGGAAAGAAACAGAATTGCCATTATTTAATGTTCATTTCTGAAGTCAGAATCCATTATAAACAAGCCAATTATGCCTAGTTTATTAGCTTGCTTTCACTACTGTACATTTTCTCTAGGAACATTAGAAGCCTGGTATTTAAATCAACAGTATGATTTTTTTAAAAGGGTTTAAAGCACCTATTGTTTTCAGTGAGCAAGGCTCTTTATGATGCATTTTAATATAAAAGGCAAGGTTATTATAATAAGAGTGACTATGGCTCAGTTATAGGCATGGACACAAAGTAACTTCATTATAAGATTTCTATAGGATTTAAATGTAATCAAAGCCTGGTCCACATGGGGATCAGGACTGTGCTATGAACATATTTAAGCACAGTTGGCGGGACAGGAAGGAGAGGGAATGGTGAGAAGGGTGCTAGATAAACTATGCCAACTGGCACTCTATAGCACAGATTTATTACAGAACTAACTTGGTTACAGAGAAATGGTGTTACAACCCTGCTAGCAACTACCATGCTTCAACGTGGTTGTACAGTAGCAAGCACTGTTCTGCTCCCAGAGCAAGTCAGGATTTTAAAGGGGTGCAATCCCCTCCGCAACAGAGGAACAGTCACGATGTTAAAACCATTGGAAAGTGAACTCCATTGCAGTCCTGAACTACCTTGTGTAATGCTGCAGCTAGGAATTCTTAGCATTTGCATTTGAGTTTATACGGAGAAAAGTCTCTCCAAAAGTTACATTCCTCCCAAAAAACATGTTAGTAAAGGTACAGGCATTACAAAGAGAGTCATTGAAAGGATCTGCATGAAAAGGACTAGAAGAAATTGAGCACTTCTATATGGACTGTAGTAGCACAAACCCCTGCGGTTAGTCTGTATATCTTGTGTCCCCCCTCGGTCCCTGATCCACAGAGGAGGATTATCGATTACAGCCCCTTGCTACAGAGCTTGGGTCTTTAGCTCAAACTGTGAAGACTCAGTCTTTTAACTCTGGAGGTCTCCAGTTCAATCCCTGGCATTGGCTATGCTGGCAGCTGTTACAATAGTAACTGCAGTCCTTGCAAAACTACAAACGGCTGAGCTACCTGGCACACAGGGATTGGAGAGTTGCCCCAGCAGGGCTTCTCTACCTCCTGCTCCCCAGCAGATCTGCTACAGTTTGGGCCTTGAGTGTCCCCAGAGGGGCAGTGGTCAGCATCTCTAATTAGCCTTGTTCCAAGGCAGGAGGAGCTTTGCCCAAGGCAGACAAATACTTGCCAATTTTGCAGTGGGCCACCCTGGGAGGAGATGCCAGAATAGTTAGGAGGGATGCAGGGCAGAGGAGAAAATCACGGTGACTCTGGAAAGCTGCAGAGCCCAAATCCACACCCCCAGACACTTAGTACATCTACATTGGAGCTGGAAGGTATAATTTCCAGCCCAAACAGATGTACCTGCATCAGCTTTGATTGAGCTAGCACCCTAAAAACAGAAGTATAACCCTGGTGGCGCGAGCAGTGGGAGGAACTAGTCACCCTGAGTATGTACCTCGGGTCCAGGATGGGATCGTACTCGGGGAGGCTAGTCCCTCTCGCTACAATGGCTACTCCTTCTATTTTTAGCATGCTAGCTCAGTCAGAACCAGTACAGGTATTTCTACTTGTGCTGGAAATTACACCTTCCAGTTGCATTGCAGACAGACCTTAAGTGTATGCCACCTCTGCAGGTAAGGCCTCAGGTAGCTCTTTGAGAGTCACCCAGATTTCCTCCCTGCTCATGTTATGGGTCCAACATAGCTGGCTATGGGAACAGCTGCTGTTAGGGTACCAGACATCAAGTGTGAAAACTCGGGAGAGGGGGTTGGAGGTAATAGGTGCCTATATAAGAAAAAGCCCCAAATATCGGGACTGTCCCTATAAAATTGGGACATCTGGTCCCCCTAGCTGCTGTATATAGGGCTGAAGGTTCAGGAAGCAACCACCAGCCCCAGTTACTCTTCTCTGGACCCCTTCCCCATCTGCTGCTCCAACGCAGTAGTCTTAGCTTTCTGGTAAACTGGGGAATGAAGTAACCAGAGGAGGAAGGGAGAGGAGAAGAATCAGCCAAAAGGGGTCTGGCAATAAACAGAAAGAAAAAGGATGACAAGGAGGGAAAAATCCACAGAAAACCAGGATTGGAGAGAGAAAATGGACAAAAAAATGGACAGAAAAGGAGAGACATCAGCAAATTTGTGAAGACATGGTACAAGTTTATAAGGCAGGCAGAGTGGGAGCAGTACCTATTTGCCCTCTACCCCTTCCCAAGGGAGGGCTTTAAAAAGGGGCGGGATGGAAAGTATCTAAGGTCAGCAAAATTTCCCCCTGATTTGTGATGAAGCCACATACAGCTGGCAGACATGAATATTGGATAAATCCTACACTGCGGAGAGCTCAGAGTAGAACCCTAGTTCCTCAGTTCCAAAAAACACAGGCCTTCACTGCTTGAGTCAAAGGGACACTCTCTCAGCTAATGCTAGTAGAGGGGCCATATTCTCTCTAATGGCTAACTACTAGAAGGGAACCAGGTAAAATAACTGGAAGCAGGGATGTGTATTGGGATTACTTGGGAACTGAAAGAGGGTTCCTCCATTTTGACTGGCCCTGATTTTCATCTCCTTTCACAGTCAAGCTGAGCAAATCTTTAGTATCAAAGCAGTTTAGCCCACTGACATGAAAGGTAAATTTGCTCTTGAGAGGGCCAGGAAAGCAATTATTTGCGGGTTATTAAGGAAAAGATCTTGTGATGGAACCTGGTAGAATAAGTCAGGAGTTTTACAGGGCTGCCATGCTGCTAATCAAGTTGTATGAATCCTTAACACAGATACAAAAAGGCTGCACTTGCAAAGAAAAATGGGATCCTATTGTGCAAGAGACTCTTATTAGACTCAGGCCTATTCTGGTGCTTGGATAAAGCAACTAGCCTGAAAAGAAGTTGATTTGCCCTGCCAGAAATTGGCCTGCCCTGCTGGAAGGAAATAAAAACAACATTTGCCTTCTTTATAGATTTGTCAGAGAAAGAATTTGTCAAGAATTGCCCCAGTTTACATTAAGTAACAGACGCAGCTGATGTTCTGTGTCTGGGTCCAAGGCCTGGTCCACATTAACCCCCCACTTCGAACTAAGATACGCAACTTCAGCTACGTTATTCACGTAGCTGAAGTCGAACTATCTTAGTTCAAACTTACCGCAGGTCCAGACGCGGCAGGCAGGCTCCCCCGTCAACTCCGCGTACTCCTCTCGTGGAGCAGGAGTACCGGCGTCGACGGCGAGCACTTCCGGGATCGATCTGGGATCGATTTATCGTGTCTAGACAAGACGCGATAAATCGATCCCAGATCGATTGCTTACCGCCGGACCCAGTGGTGAGTATAGACGTACCACAACTTTTAGTTCTGTCTATAAATGTGTGAAAGCCTGATTCAATTCACAGGGTAAAACTGAATTCATACGGAGGGCAGGAATGGTGTGCCTTGCAGCAGTGGAGGATAGTGGGCCAGAGAGTGAAGTAGTTCAGAAATTCATTTCCAAATAAGTGATAAGACCTAGGACTCAATTCTCAGCCCTGGCTCCAGCTGCTTTCTTTGTGCTGTGCAGGCTCCTAGTCTGCACCATTTGAAGTTCTCTGTTCAAGGGTCCATTAGTGTCTGCATTTCTGGCAGCTAATCTGGTTCAGAGTCTGGAGTACTTTCTAAAAAACACACTTAGGTTGTGAAGGACATCTGGAGTGTATGAAAAAACAAGATCAATAAGGACTGAACATTCTACCACCTATTAATTGCAAGGTTAGATTCTTGTTTAAGATATTACAGATTTGTAAAATTGGATGTTTAAAAGACAGAGTATATCCGAGGCCATCAGAGTGAATTCTTTCTTGAACAGAATGAGTAGTTGCCACTGCCATAGTTCTCACTGCTCTTTCTGCATAGTTTATTTTTGAGTAAGAGATCAACATCCATCTTAAGTAGCCAAATGTTCATGCCAAATTTATACTTTTCCCGGTGTTCAGTGAACTATATAATTTCAATAGTTACATCATAATTTAGCTGTGTATTAATGGCCAATAAATATGATTAATCTTCATAGTCATTATAGCTGTAGCAGACACAGAATTAAAATCATAAACTCACAAATTGCCACTTAAATGGCCAGTAATCTATCTCCTGCATGCCTTAACAGAGCAAATGTTAATTAAACAAACATGTTAAAAAATGCAAAATATTATGACAAAAACCCAAATCAGCCTAATACTAAATAAAGTTAATAGGCCTTATATTGTCCCATGGTGTTTGTTAAAAGAGATGGGGAGAAAATGATTCTCCCGTCCTAGGAACATTTTTGAGATTTCAAACTTTTTTCCCTTTCCCAAATTGGGATGAAATATTGAAACCTCAAAAAATATTGTGAAGTGAAAAATCTTTAAAATAAATCAGGTTTTGGTCAATTGAAAATATTTCATTTTGCAAAAAAGAACAGGAGTACTTGTGGCACCTTAGAGACTAACAAATTTATTTGAGCATAAGCTTTCGTGGGCTACATCCGAAGAAGTGGGATGTAGCCCACGAAAG